GGCCACATCCAGCAAATGAGCCTCCGTCTATGGAGGCCAACAAAAGCGGCCCAGGATGATTGACAGGCATTTGTTTCTCACCCAGCATGAGATGTGAGATGAGCTGCCTCCCAAATGCTGCACCTAAAGCTAGCGTTTGGCTTTTCTTTATTTTTGACCCAGGAGGTTTTCTTCCCTCCCGTGGTGAGAGCCACCAACATACAAATGTGGCATCTCTTATTTCAAGAAAGGCTGGAGTTCCAGCCTCCAGTCCCCGAGGCCTCCCCAAAGCTGCCTTCTGGATTGCCAACCATGTGTGCCCTCAGGTTCCCCAAACTGCAGTTAATCATTTTTAAAGTGTCTTCAATCATTTGCTTTCCCTCTTTAGAAAATGACCCGTCACCACTCTAAACATTGGTCACATCCGATCTCCTCCTTCACCATCACATCCGGTCACCAAGCCACCGGAATCTTACCACCTAATTAGGTTTTGGGACCAACAACTTCCGCTGCTGGCCCCAGCACCTCTGCCCGGTTCCAGCCCCACAGCCTCTCGTCCATCCCTTCTCATCAGGTGTGAAGTTCAGGGTCACAAACTCAAGACAGCGGAATGGAAAGTCTTTATTTTTTTATAACCTCAATTTAATTTCTGGCCCTGTGCCTCGACCCTCCCTTGTGTTAATCCTGTCACTCAGGTGAGGCCAGACCAGTGTGGTGATCTTTCAGATGGCTCAACATTCCCAAGCCACTGCCCCCATTCTGTGCCCCTGTAGTGGAAAAACATTGCCCTGTAGGGGTCAAAAGGGAAGAGAATTCCTGGATCCAGCAAACAAAAGTATATGAAAGTTCAATTTTGTTTTCAAACAGTCAGAAACTTATCTTTTAGTCTATCTGATGTAATATATAGGACATTCTAATTTTTTTAAAAAAAAAATCATTTATTTTTTGTCTGGCATTTAATTTTAACTGGATCTTATCTGGCAACCTGGCAAGCAAGGGACAGGGTGTGGCAGCCTTGGTCAGGGGCCTTGTGCCCATGTCTGCAGTAACTACCCAGTCCCCACGCTACCTTCCTCTAGCAGGATTTTCTCAAGCCAAAGAGGCATTTGTTCCCAGATTCCTTGTGTCACAGCAGGGTGGCATTTGACACAGGCCTGACCAATGTGACATAAACAGGCATTTGCTGTTTTCAGGAATGCTTTTGTTTTCCCCACACATAAGGAAAGGCACAGCTATGCCACCCCACGCTCTCCTTTCTGCTCTTCTTGACCTAACAGTGGACAGGATGTCAGTCTGTAGCAGCCTGCGAGCTCAGCAGGGGACAAACGATAAGAGAATCCACCAGGACACTCAGCAGACCTTCAGCTGTGTGCCCTTAGCAACAATTAGGAGCCTTGACTTTCTAAGACACTGGGAGGTAAATTCTCTTACAGAATGTATTCCTAAGCTAGGGGGTCCTGCAGAGGTGACCATCTCTAATGCACCTGACCAAGCTTTTTCCATCAGCTCCGCAGATGAGCCAGCCTGAGCTGCCGGATCTCTCCAGAGCTTCCTGTTTCATGTCTGTCCCTATGAGCAGTCTAGAAACAGCCTTTCTGCATACAAACCTTGTCACTACTCGAAAATATGGCGGCAGGAATGGTGGACCTCTCTTTCCAGGAACTTCAGGATGGCACACAGAGCCCCGGGATGTTATCATCCCACTCCTCTCATACTATTCTAGGTCCTTGAGAAATCAAAGGGCCAACTGCCTTCTGTCTAGAATCTCCTGACGGTTGGCCATTTCCCCATGCACTGTGCTCAAGGAGGTGGGCAAGGATATGGTGGTCAGCTTTGTGCCTTCAAGCATCACACCAGAGAGATGGGTACTGTCAACCCCACTATGTTCTACTGGACTTTGCAGGAAGTTGAATTCCATTTCCAGCTCATCTATTGTTTGAGGGAGAGAGGGGAGGAAAAGGGGACCTGGCCCATTCACAGTCTTGTCGTTAACCCTTCCATCCCGTGTCCTTCTCACTGGATCAGAAGGACAGCAGAAAAAAGAAATCCAGTGCTGCTCTTCTCTGCCACATGTTGAGAATCTTATCTCTTATCACATAGTGGCTCTTGACCTTCTGGTTTGGAAAGATGGTTTCTTTATTCTCTTTATCAGCTAGCTCTATAATAGTCTGGCTGTCAGATGGGAGAGGACTGAAGTTCAAGTCCATCTGGGATGCTCCTTCCAGACACTTCTCAAATGCAGCCGTGTGTATGGGGTGGAGCTCAATGGTGAAAGGCTTGCCTAGCATGCTCAGTACTCCACATTCCATCCCCAGCACCACAATAATAATAACAATCTTCCATTGCACACTATTAACATGGCCCAGATCCAGACTCCTCAGCGCCTAGCTCTAGCACTACTGGCTTGGAGTCCAAACCTCACCATTGCTTTAACAACTTCATAGTCTCACCACACTTCCCTTCATGCCTAAGGAGGTCTATGGAATAAGAAGCTCTTGGGGGGTGGAGGCTGCACAGTTGTGCTGTTTTGTTTTTGAACCTCCACAGGTGAATCTAAGGCCTATCTTAGAGGGTAGAACCAACCACACTGGCTTTGTGTTTCCCAGAGTGTGTGCACACACTTCATCTCACGGCATCCTAGGGGAGCCCTGCAATGCAATTAGGACTGACTTTAACACAGGCTTTTACACAGGGACAGAAATGGAACACGAAGAAGTCAGGTCATGCCGGGCTGGCTCCACCTCAGCACTTCTGATTCTGAGAGGTCAGACAGATCCCATGGTCACTCAACTCTGTGTTTCTAGTAGGTCTATTGTCCTAAATATGTCTTAAAATGCCTCCTTTTAAAGGAAGAACATAAAGTAATTAACATAAAATGTGTCTTTCAGCACCTAATCATTCTTCTGCTTTAACAACGACCACCACACAGCTGTTCTCCATACGCACATGCATCTCTTCTCTTTTTTCTTTTCTTTTCTCTTCTTTTCTTTTCTTTTCTTTTCTTTTCTTTCCTTTCCTTTCCTTTCCTTCCTTCCTTCCTTCCTCTCTCCCTCCCTCCCTTCTTCCCTCCCTCCCCCCTCTCTCTCTTTCTTGACTTCTTTCTTTCTTTTTCTTTGAGACAGAGTCTCTCTACATAGCTCTGGTTGGCCTGGAACTCACTATGTAGACCAGCTGGCCTCTAACTCTGAGAGATCTGCCTGCCCCTGCCTCCTGAGCACTGGCATTAAAGGCCTGTGCCACCACTGCCTGGCAGCACATGCCTTTCTTAAATAAACATTTTCAATCATTGTTTATGATGTATCTACTTAGTTGTTGTCTGTGTCCTCCCCTGAGCAGGTACAGATTTCACGAGGGCACTGAACTGCTTGGTCTAGAACAATCTGTTGGAGGAGGAGAAGGGCCTATGAAGATGGCTCAGTTCTTGGGTGCAGTAGTTAAATCACCTGTCATGCAATCGTGAAGGCTGCAGTTCAGATCCCTGGAACCCGCATGCACACCCAGTGAGTGTATCAGCCTGCCTTTAACTCCAGCTCAGAGTCTGCAGAGCCAACTGATCATATCTGTGAGCTCTGGGCTTGACTTAGAGATTCTGCCTCAAAGAATAGGCAGAGTCATGAGTAATGACTCCTGACATTAACTTCAGGCACACATGTGCATTTGTGCCTACACATACATGCCCACACATGCAAAAAGCACGCACACACACACACCACACACACAAGAAAAAAGAAGAAAATAGTTCATCATAAGAAACCCAATAGGGATTTGCTGAATAGATACATGAGAGTTGCCTGCCTCTTTATCTCCGCATATGAACCTTGAAGTATGTCTGGGGAGGTTTTGATTGGGTTTTATCTTTTGAGACAGGCTCATACTATGTAGCCCAGGTTGATCTTAAGTAAATAATCTTTCTTCCTCAGCTTCCTAAGTGCAGAAAGGAGGTGAATTTCTGTTTATTTATTTATTTACTATTAATTAATTGCATTATCAAGTCATTAATTTGATCTTACTTGTAAATGATTATGTAAATGTATATATTCAGCATGATATTTCAGTGATTTTTAAAACATTAAATTCAGAAGCATGATTGAAGTTTGTCAAGTTCCAATAGTAGATCATGAAACTACCTAATAGAGAAATTAAGGTTTTTTAATATTCAGTAACAAGTTTCACTTTTATCTGATTTATTGGTGCCTGTTGGCCTTCTGGCTTGGTTGATGGGTTTATTTGCTCTTCTGATTGGTTGGTTGGTTTGAGCAGAATGGTATAAAGCTGGGGTGGTGTATGGAGAACTTGAATAGTCAAGTAGCTTATTTGTCCTTTTCAAAGAGACCCCAGCTCTGGAGCTGACATATTTATAATGCGATTACATTAATATCACTATGTTAGGTAAGCACCAGGCTCCTTCATTAAACTGAGGCTGCTTGATTTGTCACAAAGATCTCTTGACAGTTAAAAAAAAAAAAAAAAAAAAGCCTGCTTTGAGTTCTGGTTTTCAGAGGATGGAAAACTCTCTGAGGTCCAAATCAGCCCATGTTCTGCTCATATTCTAGGCACAGGAACTCCTACAAGAAGAGCGTCTGCGTGGACATGCTGCGTGACGGCTACCACAAGTCCTTCACAGAGCTCTTCGCGCTGATGGAGCAGTGGGATGCACTGCGGCATGCTGCTGAGGTGCGGTCCCTCTTCTGGCTACAGAGGCCGCTGGAGGAGCAGCCGGACAAGCTGGACAATTTCTACCACTACCTGACCAGGGCCGAGACTGCGGAGAGACAGGGTAGGTGCCTGGTGGCCGGAGATGCACCCCAGGGAAGATTCCGAACTGTTGCCATGTGAATTTGATACATTAAGACAAACTGTACAATTCAAGCTGGTCCACTGAGTGGCTTTACAGAGTAAGGGACTAGGCACCAGGCTGGCGATGTCACTGAAAGTCTTGGAAGACTGGGTACACTACCAAACGTCTCCAGAGGTGTCCCACAGGCTAAAACCTTTCCTGTCATCGAGAACAGTCATATCCTGATCTTTCTCTGTGTGGGATGAGTATTGGCTCTCACCAAGGAGTTTTCAAAGCACCATCACTTGAGACTCACTGATTTAGTTTGTTTTATCTTAGCATTTTCATAATGAGTTTTCAAATTTTTGTCACTAGATCCCGTTGGTTGGATCATAAAATGATATTAGTTAAAAGACATGAAAAGCCTTTATTTTCCAGGGTGCTATTAGGCTGCACTCCCAACGCTTGGGTGATGGAGGCAGGGGCTTACTGTGAGTTTGAGGTTAGCCTCGGCTACATTGTGAGACACTTTCTCAGAAGAAAAGGAAAATGATCCATAATCCATGACTGTGATTTCAATAGTTAATTTCTTATTTTCCACAGAATAATTCTAGTGTATTCCTTTGCGATATATTTTAATATTTTTTACAAAGCTAGTACTGTATGTTTAAAGTATTAATTACTTAATACTTTAAAGTACCTGAGAATTAAGTACTTAATCTCTGATAAAGCTGTATGGGCTTTGTCATTTAATATTTTTAATTCTGTGTCACGAATTTGACTTTATCATTTGACATTTTTAGGTCTGAATTAGGAATTTGTTGTTTTCATTGGAAAAGTAAAAAGAAAATTCTAGAATTTGGCATTCCAATTTTTTTTCCTCAACATTTTGACTGAAAACACAAAAGACTTATAAAGACCAGAAAAGCCAGTGCTGTACATGACAACGTGGTCTTTCACTCGGCCTTTACTCGGTCAGCAGGTGATTCTGTCTACCCACAGCTAGCTACTGGGGACCGTGAAAATGCAGAGCTCAGAGGGGCAGCCTGGGTCGCAGTCGTCATGAGCTTGATGTAGAACTGGGGAAAGAGACACTGAAAATGAACAGCAGGAAGACTGAGTAAGGGAGGGGCCATCTGTATTATGGAAAGCATTCTAAACTGCAGAATCAACATGAAACAGTCTTTTGATGAACTTAAAAAATACAATTTAAATATAAGAAATTAACTATTATAAATAAATATTCCATGTTATTACAAAACAAACAAAACCCAAGCCCCAAATTCTACTATCAGAACAAAATCCTGAATAGATATTTATACAAGAAATAGAATTAGCCAAGATAAAGTCTGCCCACTATTTATTTTATAAAGTTCAATTTCATCATCAGCTTAAATTGAGGGCTTTGATTTGAGTAGCATCAATGTGAGGCAAGTATCTGACCTGAGACAGTGTGTCATTACCGTGCCAGTCTGCCATGGAGCATCTGCAGGGTGACGGCCGTAGGATGCTTAAGCTAAAGCAAAGTAACTACGTAGGAAGAGAAGGACTTCTCTAACAGAAACAACGACAGAGTCCCAGCTTGTGACAGCGAAAGTCCCATTCATGTGTGTGAGAAATAAAGCTGCAGTTATTAAATGGGACAAAGTTACCTTGGCTCAAAACACCCATAGGGCTACCTCCTATAAGATGGTATGGCTTTTGCCTTGCTGAAATATAGAAAATTAGAATTATTGCAGAAAGTATCACATAAGCATTTATATAATCATTGCTTGAAAATTTATGTAATTTTTTCACCCTCCATACATTAAATTTATCAGAAAAACTGTGATCTGAATAAAAATTGCCCCCCAAAAATGAAATCTGCATGTTTGCTTCTATTAACTTGAATGAATCCAAAATCTGAAAACATGTGTTATGTTTTAAGGTGTGTACATGTGCATCTAGAATGCAGAGATCTGTCAGTGGTTATCCAGGTCCCATCGAGTGTCATCTCGGGGTGCAATACAGTGATCCTGAAAGAACATGTCTCTGAGTGTTTTCATTGCTTCCTCAGAAAGACCATCCATCCACTCTAGGATTTTAGTGAAGTTCCTTTCATCTAATCTGTGGCAGGAAGTGTCATCTGTGGCAGGAAGTATCAACTGTGGCAGGAACAGTGTCATCTGTGGCAGGAAGTATCAACTGTGGCAGGAACAGTGTCATCTGTGGCAAGAAGTGTCATCTGTGGCCGTTCAGCCTCTGCAGATGTGCACAGCAGTAACCTTAGTTTTTTTTTAAATCAGCAAACACCACTTGCTGCTTTATAGAAAAGCTGTTTTAAAGCAATCTGCCATTCCTTTCTGGGTGGTCGTCCCCTGTTAAAGTACCCATCTCTGACACAAACCTCACGTTCTCCAGTGTGAATCCTCTCTGTGACACCTGTACCGTTGTTCTTAGTGCCCCGAGCCCCATGAAGCTGGGGAGGAAGTGTCGATGATAACTGCAAACTGAAGACAGAGATAATTCAAAAGTGCCTTACATTTGACTTGTAAGTTTTGGCCAAGGCAACATTTGTTTAATACACCCAAAATCTGTTTCACCCAAGTGGACTTTCACATGATATAAGTTTCATGAAAGTAGAAAAGGGAGGAAAACAATGTCCAATAAAGGAAGTTTGGGAGACTCTGGGTTAATTAATCCTGGGCTTAAGCATACTTTGTAGTACTTATCAGAACATCGTGTATGCTTTGTGTACTGTGTTATTTCACCAGTAGGGAAAATTAGCAAGAGTATTTTTTTAATTTACTTCACTTTTTTTTAAGATTTTTAAAATCTCCCTTTTAAAATAGCAGCCATAGCATCTGACTAAATAACAAACCCATGATGGACTTTCATCTTCTGATGATGGCTGTTGGCGGTTCACTTGGAGAGAACAGGCTACTTAGAATGTGAAGAATACAGATGTAGTTACAGAAAAACAGTTCAACTGATAGGCAGTCTTTAATTATGGAATCCTGGGAGCTTCCATAATTAAGCTTTTTGCACTTTAAAATACTCTGTATACATAATGATGAGAATATTTTAAATTATAGTTTAATTTATTAAACAGAAGAAAATGTTTACATATACATTTGTTAACATAGAAAGTTGAGTATCTTACCCACTGGCAACTGTAAACAGAAACTGTAATCAGTGAGTATGAAATGTGATAAAATACACTTTAATGGTCTATTCACACTAGGTAAGAAATGCACTTGTAGGAAGTTTCTGTGAAGAAGGTATAGGATTCAGAAGTGTCTTTAGAGGGACTCCATAAACAGTGCCCACTGTGTAAGTGTAAAGATCTGAGTTAGACCCCAGCACCCAAGGAAAAGCTGGGTGTGCTGGCTGCTCTTATGTCAACCTGATACACAAACTAGAGTCATCTCAAAGAAAGGAACCTTAATTGAGAAAATGCCTCCATGAGATCCAGCTGGAGGGCATTTTCCTAATTAGTGATTGATGAGGGAGGGCCCATCCCATTGTGGGTGGTGCCATCCCTGGGCTGGTGGTCCTGGGTTCTATAAAAAAGCAGGCTGAGCAAGTCATGGGGAGCAAGCCAGTAAGCAGCTCCCCTCCATGGCCTCTGCATTAGTTCCTGTCTACAGGTTCCCGCCCTGTTTTAGTTCCTGTCCTGACTTCCTTTGATGATAATAGTGATGTGGAAGTGTGAGCGGAATAAACACTTTTCTCCTCCAGCTGCTTTGGTCACAGTGTTTTATCACAGCAACAGAAACCCTGCCATATATGACACTCCCTGCCACAGATGACACTGTGTGTGGCAGCATGTGTCTGTAACCCCAGTATTTTGTGGGAGCAGAGACAAGAGGATCGCTGTGGATTGCTAGCCAGCCTATTCAAATAAAACAGGATAGCCTAGGCAGGTTCAGTGAGAGACCCACCTCAAGGAAATAAGACAGCAAGCAACTGGGGGAGACAGGCCCTGTGGCCTCTGCAGGCATGCACATGGATGTACACCTGCGCATTTTAGTTAGGGCTTCTTCTATTGCTGTGAAGTTAACATGACCATGGCAGCTCTTATAAAAAAAAAAAAAAAAAAAAAAAAACACTTCATTGGAATGGCTCACTTACAGTTCAGAGGTTAGCCCATTATCTTCACGACAGGGAACATGATGGCATGCAGGCAGACATAGTGCTGGCTACATCTTGCAGGCAAGAGGAAGTCAACTGATTCACTGGGTGATATCTTGAGCATAAGAAATCTCAAAGCCTACTCCCATAATAACATACTTCCTCTAACAAGACCACTAATTGTGCCACTCCCTATGAGATTATGGGGGCCAATTACATTCAAACTCCCACATTCACTCCCTGGCCTGCATAAGCTTGTAACCATATCATAATGCAAAATGCATTCAGTCCAACTTCAAAAGTCCCCATAGTGTATCACAATCTCAACAATGTTTAAAAGTCCAAAGTTCAAAGTCCCTTCTAAGATTCATGCAATCTCTTAACTCTGTTCAACTTTGTTGACTGCAATACACTTCTTTGTCTTAGGCTGGTTCCACTCCCTGTTAGCAGCTCTCGTCAGCAGGTATCCCATGACTCTGTCATCTCTAACATCTTGGGGTCTCCAAGGTAATCTAAGCTTCAACTTCACACAATGGCTTCTCTTAGACCTCCATTCAGGGACAACCCTGACACATGCCTGGCCTCAGTTATTCCATAACTCCTTTCTTCTGTCCTTAACTCCAAAGCCAGAGCTGCGTGGCTGAAGCTGCCAAGATCTGCTGCTTACTGGGACTGGAACATGGGTGCCCTTGTCTAATTACATCTTCACCAGCTTTCTGGCCTTCACTGCCTAAGCTTGGCTGTCCTGAAACTGGATCTGTAGACCAGGCTGGCCTCAAACTCAGAGATCTGCCAGCCTCTGCCTTCCCAATGCTAGGATTAAAGGTGTGCCCCACCACACCTGGCTCTAGCTTTTCTTTAGTTCTTTTTCATAAGTTGAAAAGTTAGCTGGGTAAAATCTTGCCCTGAGGTCACCTTCTATTGCTATGAAAAGACACCACAACCATGGCAACTTTTATAAGGGAAACATTTAATTGAGGGGCTTGCTTACAGTTTCAGAGGTATAGTTTATTATTATCATGGCAGGGAGTATTGCAGCATGCAGGCAGACATGGAACTGGAGAAATATGAGAGTCCTACATCTTGCAGACAACAGGAAGTCAATTGACTCACTGGGTGGGATCTTGAGCATAAGAACCCTCAAAGTCCACCCCCACAATGACATATTTCCTCTAATAAGGCCACACCCACTCCAACAAGCCCCACCTCCTAATAGTGCCACTCCCTATGAGATTATGGGGGCCAATGACATTCAAACTCCCACATGT